TAGACTTTAATAAGGCACTCTTCTATTAATTTTCATCATATAACTAAGGTATTTGTGAGTTTGGACCCAAACAGATACAGTTCACTTTCCTCTCAAATCTGCAATTCACTGAGTCAATATCCCAGATCTGACATACCCTGTGGAAAAAGCTACAAAAAAACCCAATTCTCATTATAGAAAATTAATAAATAATATTCAGGGAAAGCAAGCTTCTTCCTAAAAAGTGTTGCTTTCTAGGCAAGCCAGCATTTAGCAGTGTAAGAGCAGCACAAATCAGAGCATAAGGCACACTGCTCAGGAACAAGATCTGGACAATCAGGGTGCTAGAGGCCTCAGATGTCTCAAGGCACACATCTGTCAAGAAGTCCAGACACAGGTAAAGTACTAAGAAAACAAGTCTACTGCAACTGAATGTCTTCCTTCCTACCCATCTATACAGCTATTCAGCCCCTTTCCAATGTTCCTAAAAAAGTATTTTGAATATAATATAAATACTTCTACAATGTAATTAAATGTATTATATAACATCCATTTTTATTAGGAGGACTCATGGACAGCACTGGCTATTTTATTGTTATGACAAAAATATTCACATGTGTATCATAGTCCTCTCTCATCTTGCTTAAACCAAACATTCTAATTCTTCTTAGAAACCTTTTCATGCCTGCTACATTTCTCAAACATCACACTCACAACTGCTTCTGTCACTATTCATGTAATTTTCAGTGTTCTTCAGTTTGCATTATGCAAGGCAAGATTTTCTCATAGGAAAAAAAAAATATCATTAACAGCAAACAAGAAAAAGATTATTTCTTCCAGAACAGCCGATCATAACAAGGCTAGTAAGGCATATTTGCAAAAGTTGAGTAACAACTCTTTCCCAATTCTTCTTGCTGTTAATAAGTTGCATGTGTTTGCCTAAAGCACTGCTGTGACTTTTAGAAAAATCCAGACCAGCTGAAACCAACTAGTTCAAAACAGGAAGGCTCATCACTTTGATTCCTGTGTTGTGGCTCCTACCTCCCAAGACCACCCAAACAAAAACCATGAAAATTTGCCAGAATTTACTTTTTTCATTTGCGTCTAGTCAGTCAGCAGCTCACTGCAAATTATTCATCTGCTTATTCTCAAAAATAAACCTTTTATCTTTGACTACAACAGATGCCACTATAAAAGCAAAAGATTAATTGTTAACTAGAAAATACATAGAATACTTTTGCAAAGCTTTCAGGAATTGTATACGGTTTAAAATCTTAGTATCTGTGTCTTAAAAAATATTGTTGAAATGACACTAATAAAAGCTTGGGAAAGAGGAGTATTTGTCTCAAACTTTCCTTTTGCTGCCTGTGGGCTTGTGTGTCAGTGCCTTTCTTTTTTTTTCAATTTTAAATTGCTCCCAGATTTCTTCCTCCAAGCAGACCAACATGGTTGAGGGGCAAGATTAAAAATGCAATAAAGTTCCTATTAAATAGCTGAGGACAAAGCCAACAGTCAACAAGCTTATCTATGTTTGAAGCAAAGATAGACTGGAATCAGAACATGAACAGGACAAGCATAGTTATCAGAATCAGCTAAGTCATCACCAACAGACCTTCACTGGTCAATGAAGGACTCTGTCTTTCAGAACACAAATAGGAACTTTGTCTAAGCATTGTAGTTCTATTGTAGTGTGCTTCTAGTCTTCATTACCTTCCAAACGTTTTTCTGTATCATATACTAGCCAAGTACATTTCACCAACACACATCAAATACTATTTAAATACTGATTCTATGTGCTTGCACTACAGATCCGAGAGATTCAATACTGCTACCTGTACCTTTCCTTACACCTTTCAGCAGCAGGGTCCCATTTGTGCTAGATGACAAGAAACTGGGGTGTGAAGCTATTGCTTCACAAACAAGAATGCTCAGATAAACAACCATCTGTAACTGCTGGCGTCCCTGCAGCTCTCATGCACAGCATTTTACCTGGGGTTCCTGATAAAGCAGCTTGAGCTCCTGTCAGAGTCAAGAGGCCACCTTCTTTCAGATGTTTTGTGGCAAGGTGGCTGGAAATAGTCGATGTCCAAACACTCTGCTTCCACATCAGATCACAGTTTTTGTATAAAGCTGATTAGGAAGAGAATTAGTGAAATTAGCCAAAGGAAAGCTTTTAACTCTTATTTCCTCAGTGTTCCACAGAGAGCAATGGCACTATGAAAACATCCTTTCTACCATTTTCTACCTCTACGCTGTAAAACATTCATTTATGTCTTTTGTATCTCCTTTCTCTTCGAGCCTGTAACATCCAAACCAGAAGGGGGAAGAAAGGGACACATTTTACCAGATTCACTCCAGACTGAAAACAAAGCTATTTTTCTTCTTGTATTTCCAAAGTAGTGGGCAAAGTACAAATTTCATTGAATATTACATGTTTAAAATGTACACCTTTTTTTAGTCTGAAGGGTTTTTTCTGTAGCATGATTAGGCAGTGCCTTCCAATATTGTATTGCATAGTAACAGCTCAGATAGCTGCAGGAAGCAACTGAGGTTTTACACATAAAGCAATGATTTAGGAAACAACATAATCAATATGTCTTTCGTAATTTGCCTGACACAAGTAATCTCAGCAAAATCAGTTCATAGATAACAATGCTGAGCTCCTTCAGAAAGCACATCAGAACTTTCTGGTAAAAATTAGTGCATCAACAAGCCTTACTGACAAAATTAAGCACTGCACAAATTTAACAGAACACAAAAAAATCAGAGAAGCACTAAGAAGCACTGTGACTAAGCTATTTTGTACTTCCATGCTTTTGTCCTCTTCTGGACTCAGGAAGAAACATTTTTAAGGACTTCTCTCAGACATCATTAATGTCTTCACCAGCATGTCTGTACCAAAGGCTTACATTTGGCTTTGGCGCTGCCTCCAGCCCATCCTCCTGCTACACACAGGATCGCATCCACCTTTTCTTCACCAAGAAGTTCTCCAACTGCTGCTGTCACCTTCAACACATAGAAAAGAACATACTGAAAACACTTGACTGATAAGGTAAAGATGTAAACACTACAAATGCCTTAAAGCTACTTTTTCCTACTTATCTATTTGAGTAACACAGGACGCAGCAATTTAAACAGCTATAGAAAATTAATATTCACAATTCATGAACTCTAAACAACTGTGTTGAAACATAACTACAGATGAAAGTAAGATGAATGAAAGCCACAGAGTGTTTGATGTAACTGGAAATAAGTGCTCATCAGGGCTGAAACACCTGACCCTTACCTCTATTGTTAACAAAAATTATTACTGACTTGCTTTTGACAGGTTCTCTTCCAAGTATGTTGTTGTTTAGGATAATAAATGAAACTCCAGGTCTGACTAGGACTACTAGTGTCACTTTTGCTGACAGTAAAAGAAAAACAACTAAAGATTAGCTTCTTTATTGCTTCTGTATAGACCACAACCATCAGTTTGAGTCTGGCTACTAAATTTGAGATTGTATACTTTTAGATATCTATAATTTGTTCTCTTTTAAATATAAGACCTCACAGCTGGTAATGAAGTTGTTGGCTATGAATTTTCTCTGTCAAAGCAAATAGCAAGCAATCCATCTCTCAACAAGTGAAGGAAAACCAATAGCTTTTGCAAAACTGTATTGAAAAATGTATTGCAAACATTCTATGTTACTCTTCCAAAGCTTTAGTAGCTGTGTAGATATTAAAAACCCATATTGGCTAGATATTCAGTATATCAGTAACAGATATTGGTTCGAAACTTAAAATGTAAAAAATGAAAGTTATCTGCGGAGAATAAAGCAAAATACTTTTTTAGGCTGACTTAGATTCACCCACATTCATGTTTGTGGAAACCAGTGCATTCCCCTAGGGATCCCTTGGGGTTTAGGTTCATATGCTTTGAGCATAACAGCTATTTACACACAACACAGTTTTAAGTTAGGGTATTTAAAATAAGTGTTGCATTTTAAGATGTCCTTATGCATCTTCATTACAACTCACCTGGTTCAGTCTGTGACTTTTAAAAGTCAAGACAAAAACAAAGCAAAACTGCCTTATGTGCTGAGCATCCAATATCCCGGATCAAACTCTTTCTGCATATTCAGTTAAAAGGCATTGCAACAAATTAAAAAGAAAGGAGGAGCAGAAGCTGAAGGACCTTGAAGTTCGCGGTACGACCACCACCGACCGCGCTGTTGCTTCCTGCGTGGAGCCGGACCCATCCCTGCAGCCGCCTCGCTCACCGCGGGCGGCAGCGAAGAGACGCACAAGCCCGCGGGGAAGCTCCGCGCATCGCTCGGCAGAAGGGACGCGCACACCCGGGGCAGGCTGCGCGCATCGCTCGGCCGAAGGGACGCGCACACCCGGGGAGGCTGAGTGCATCGCTCGGCCGAAGGGACGCGAACACCCGGGGCAGGCTGCGCGCATCGCTCGGCCGAAGGGACGCGCACACCCGGGGAGGCTGAGTGCATCGCTCGGCCGAAGGGACGCGCTCACCCGGGGGAGCTTGGCTGTCGCCGCTCCACCGCCTCACCCGGCACCGGCCGCCCCGCACCCGCGGCTGACCCACCTGCTCGGCCTGCTCGGGGAAGGAGTCGGTCGTTCTCACCACCACGTTGGCACTGGCGTCCGCGTTCTCCGCCAGGTCGATGCTGGCCACCCACTGCCGCGGCGAGAGGAACGCGCGTTAGCGGCCCGCGCCCCGGAGCGCCGGCCCGGCACCGCCGCTCCCCGCCTCGCCGCCTCCCGGCCCGGCGCTTACCCAGTCCTTGGACTTGAAGTACCGCACGCACTGGGAGCCCAGCGCCCCTCTGCCCCCGTACACCAGCACCCTGCGTGCCGCCATGCCGCTGCTGCTCTCCCCGGCGCGGATGGGCCGCCCCGCCCGGCCGTGGGCGGTGCGAGGGGCGGTGCGGGGCTGCGCTGCCCGCCCGGGCCGTGCGGAGAGGGGGAAGCGAGGGGGGAGAAATCCCATCGCCCGGCCACCGCAGGGGCCTCGTTAATAGTCCCCGGGGCTCCTGCTGCTGTACGTTAGTTAATTAATTAATTTGTTAGTGTTCTGAAGGTCCTGCCAGGGCTCGGGTAGCAGTAACCGTAGAAGTGCGGGCAATTACGGCGGGGTTTCTTTAGCGCTTGTGGATCGCACCTGTCGCTTGAGTTACACCTCATGAGTGCCCCGGGCTGTGGCGCGCCTGGCCAGGCCACCCCGGCTGCCGGGGGCTTCGTGCGCCCCGCTTAATTCAGAAGATTCCAGACCCATCATTTGTGTCCCTCAGATTACTCTGCCTGCAGTGACATTTAGAGGCTGGGTGGGAGCAAGCGCCAGGAAACGCAGCGCGGCTCAGGCGACAGCAGAATCCTTCAGCCAAATTATGCTGTTTTAATGCTTTGTCCCTTGCACACAGATATTTACCCACTTTTTTAAATAATCCAAGAAACTGGATTCTTCCCCAAATTTTCTTCACATGAGGTTGCAGTAAGAAACTTGATGTCATTTAAGCAGGACAATTAAACCCCTGAGGAAATATTAGACAGGTCGTAGAGATAGGATTACTTGCTACAAAGAAGCATCACCGCACTACAATGTAATGAAGCTGTTGCTTGCAACCATTTCAGGATGTTGTTGCAGCAAAATATATTTTTTGCCTTAATTTTTAACCATACAGATTAATTGCTGGACCTTCAAAATACAAAGAGAAGTATTTTGAAATGCCTGGTATTTGGCTGTGGATTTTGGAGCATGGTGAAAAATGGGAAATACGTCTGACTGCTGCAGAGAGGCCTTGGAGATGATCCCTTGAAAGCCCTAGGATGCCTGGCTGCTTTAAAAAGACGTTATTTGCTTTGGCTTCTCTAATAAGTTTTGTGTCTTTTATCTTGATTGTTGTTGCAATGGGGATCCCAAAGTGGATGACTGGAAAGATCCTTTGCAAAACAGGGGCTGATTTGGTTAATGCCACAGATCCAGAGCTGGTCAAGTTCATTGGAGAAATTTACTACGGACTCTTTCAGGGCGGCAAAATACGCCAATGTGGTTTGGGCGGGCGGCGTTCCAAATTCACAAGTAAGTACAATTTTGGTTTAATATTTAGTCTAACATCTAGTTCAAAATTTAGCGCTTTATTCTTTTTGTTTACAGAACTTGCAGAATGCAAATTATTATTAAATAAATATGCAGTTTTTATGGTTTGACATTTTGAGTGTGAATATAAAATTTCTATCATTTCGTTAATGTTTTTTACTACAGTTATGTTCTGTAATCCTGGAATCAAGCTGGGGGAAAAAAAATCCCTAGGGCTAGATGGAGAGCTTCCTTTTAGTCTTGTGAAGGGGTGAAATTCATTTGGAGATGACCCTGTAAAACATACTTTCCCCTTGACTGACTTTTTCCTATGTCAAGTTTTGCTCTGCCACCCCTCTGTCCTTGCCTTCTCTGTTGAACTCTTCTGAGGTTTTTTCCCTTTAAGAAGAAGAGATTTATTTAGCTGGACACATGTATTTATTTCTCTGGCTTATATTTATTTCTCAGTCATAATGCAAATGTCTACAATAGCACATATCGCTAACTTTATTAACATGTTGAAGAAATTCTTACCTTCTTTTCTATTTAAGTTGGGGGACAAAAACTTGCTGAACTTTTAACAAATGTAGAAACTCTTCTAAACGTATTCCTTTTAACATAAAAGATTTTCTCAAGGTCTTGAAAGTACTGAGCTGTACTCTGGATGATTTTCAAATTTCTCTCATCCTGTTCTGCAGTGAAAATGGTAATTTTCATGGAAGATTTTTCATTCAGTTTACAGATTTACTGAAACTTAAACCAATACGAGTTGAAGCTGTTGCAGTCTCACCCTCTCCCTGGCCCACAGCAATGCTGTCCTGTCCCATCCTTTGCAATGGCTCTGGTAGTTGAGCTGAGGTATTTCAGAAGTTAAACTGGCCAGAAATTTAACCTACAAAAATAAATACTCATTTTCCCATAGGATCGTGTCTGACTACACAACTGCACAAGCACTTCTATAAAAATCTGAAGGTAGGGGTGACTGTGGGACTTCGGAGGGAATGTAGAAAAGAACCAACCTCAACTTAGATCAGCATGACCAGTTGTTGAACTGGATGGATTTGGACTGGTCACTTTTACAGTAACCAAATTATTGCTAAGCTCTGACTGCAACTGCAACTTCATGACATGGACATAGCAGTCATGCTCAACCGGTCCCAATTCTTTCACCCCATCCTGGGAGAGAGAATGAGAAAAAATATCCAATCTCCTTTAAAACTCTGTACAACTTTCTGGACTATTTAATGAACCTTCTGATTTTTTACTGTGCAACTTGAGAGGAAGGCATAATGTTCCATAGTCACTCTGGAGTACATCAGTATGCAATTGGAGGGCGTGAGCCAGCACTCCTTAGACAAACAGAGCTCTCACTGAAGCTAATTATAATTCTCTGTTAGAACTGTAAAACATTAAGTGCAGTAGGCACAAATAGGCATTTTGGTTAACGTGTTCCAGAGATTTTTCCCTTTTAAATGTTTTAATAACTCTATTGAGTTTGATATTTTCACTGGTTTCAAACATACTGGTTTCAAACAACAATACACAAAGCTGATACATTTGCATAATGGTGAGCAGGACTGGAGGTTCTATGTTTGACTTGACTTTTTTTTCTTTGAATGTCCCCTTTAATCTTCAAGCATTCTGAACTTACTGGGGTGCAAGAACTGTGAGGTTTTTCATGGAGAATGTGATAATATAAATGGACTTCACTGGCACCATAGATCAACACAAAGCTAACACATCATATGGTGCAGTATTGCAGTACCTCTGACACTTCAGAATTCCAAATTGCAATAATTTACTGTTATTGGTACATCCCCTTTCACTCTGTTAACATTCACCAGAGTAGACATGGCTGGCACACTGTCTTTTAGCTAGGACAGTGACTCTGTTGCCACAACAGGTGTCTACTGCTGTTTTGTACTCCTCAAGATGTATCATCTGGCCTCCAGCTGCAGCTTCTGACGTGTCCCATCTAAGTGCAGCATGTACATTAGACCCACACGGTTGTTATGATGGTCTTAAGGCAGCTAAGCTGGAATAAGATGCTTCTGTTTTGACGATTGAGTCAAGCCCCGAGAACAAGCTGGGGAAGCCACGCACTTTGTCTGTGCATAGCAAACACTGCTGGATTGTCAGGAGTCTCCATGGCATATCCTTCTCATAGATTATTATTTCTGTGTACTAAACCAGACTCACTGGGCAGGTCCTTGGGACTTGGCTGTGAGACTCAGAAAAGAGACCAAATAGTCCTTACAACTACCCTAAAAATTGTTGATGGTTTGTAAGGAGGCTTAATTCCATGTGCTTTGTTGTTACACTGCCAGTTATTTTCTAGTCAGAAAGCAACCTAGTTTTTGGATTCCCATTTCTCATATATACTTCTGATCCTCGTTTACTACCCTCTTTTCTTGTTGTCAGAGTCTTCTGCAGCTCTTCTGTGCACCAGGCCCAACTACAACCCCAGAATGAGCTACTGAAAGGGTAGATCTTTTGAATCACGTAATTTTTTTATGGGATTTGTACAGTATGATCTTTTTCTACAGGATCTACTATAATTCTGTCATGGCACGATCAAATTATATGCCTGAAGTTCATGGTGATATTTACCAGCTATTGCTGCCTACTTTTTAGGTGGCTTGTTTGGACTTTGGGGGTTTTTGTCAGTTATGCAGCACAGGTAGGAATTTATCTATTTGTTTGTAACATAGTATACCTTCTTTGTAGTAACTTGTTAGTGATTAGGCAGCGAGTTCTTCAAAACATGTATGAGTGTGCAGTCCTATTCTAGCTGAAGGTTTCCTCTTGATCACCTTGTATTTTAGGGTTCCTCTCAATCAGCTTCTCTCTTTCCTGTCAGTCAAAGTCACCTACAATTCCCTACTCACATTTCTTCTGACTCTGTTGTTAGAGGGCTGCAGGATAAACTAAACACTCAGGTGTACATTTCCTGCTGCTGGGCAATCTGGCCCTCCAACAAAGGAACTGTGTCTGTGAAGACAGAACCAAGACAATTACTGTTCTCAAGAGACAAGTGAGCAGCAGGCTGCTGAACGAGAGCTTGTGCCTACAGCAAACCACGAGAGCACGTCACCTAGAGCCCACCTGACTGCAGTACTTTACAAGCTTCATCTGTGGCTAAAACACTGCCAGATACCCAGAAAAGCATAAAGGTGCCATAAACACCAGATGAGAAACCAAGACGGGAATCCTCAAGGGCAAACCTGTGGAATTAGGATGTATGAAAATAGGGCAGATCTTACTGGAGCCAGCAGTAAAGAGAGGATTAGAAAAAAAAAAGAAGAATCACATGAGAAAATAAACACAGAAAAAAAGTGCTACTATTTTAGGCAGCAAGGGAACAAGGAAACAGAGGCTATCAGACTTCAAATGGATGAGATTAAAAGCATGAGACAGGAACAAGAAGCTCAAAAGCAGGAGTTTGGTACTGAGAACAGAGGACAAAAAGAGACAGGAAAATATGCAGCAGACAATACAGCATTAGAGATAAAGACATTTACACTGCTAGATAAATAAACAGGAATTCAGCCTGAATCCTTATTCACAGATCCTGTGTAGAGGATTATTCCTGTAACAGAATATCCCTGGTACGATGCACTGAAAAATAAAGCATCAAGAACTGAGATGTGTGCAACTAGCTGAATTCCACATCTCCATCTTCCTTAAATATGAGTTGAATTTTAAACATCAACACAGTGTGATGTTTGCCATCATCAAGAAAACAAATACACTGAATAGACGATTTATTTTTTTCTTGACAGTTTTCCCACACATGGTGAAAAAGTTGAATACAGGCCTGCATGTGATGATCATAATATTCCTCTGTGTGGCCATTTTCTTTTCTCTGATCAGTTTTGGATTCTGCATTCTTAACGCAATAAAAGTTCCTTACCGGGCTATTAACGGTCCAGCAGGAGCATGCCTTTGGAACTTCCTTGCAGGTAAAGTAATTTTCCAGTGTTTATCTCTAGTCACATTCATAGAAAATGATACAAGTTCCTTCTTTTGCCTTACTAAATACCTCCTTGATTTAAATACTTGTGGATACAATGAAGTTGGCAGTGAATTCACACCTATTGAAACAGAATTTCCAGGTGGTATCTTGGCTTATTGTGTCTAGTTAACATTTAACAGGAGCAATGAATGCCAGCCATGAGGCTTTATGTCATGGATAAAAGTATGCTTGCCCATACAATAAAGCCTAAGCATTTTGAAGGTGTTTAAGCCATGCCTGTGTCTATACCTACTCTCTATAGTGCTCAGTGATGTATTCCGTAAGTTTTTTGAAGCACAATCAAAATATCTGTCTTGTTTTGATTTGATAATGGTGAATACTTATTTCATGTTGTTTCAGGTGGATTTGTAGTACTTGCAGTCACCAGCTTCATGGCTGCTGTGAAACTTCATCACCTCACAGAAAGAATTGCCAATTTTCGGGAAAATGTCTTTCGGTTCATTGTCTTAGAAGAACGCTTTGAAGACTGTTTTTGGATTTGTGTGGCAAGTGCCACAGCACATGCAGTGAATTTGCTGCTAATAGTCATTAGTGGAATTCATTTCCCTAAAATTAAGACTAAAACAGAAGAAGTGAATGTTACAGCAGAAGATATCATGTACTAACAAATCTACACAAAACTATTTTAGTCAAGTAAACTGTTGTGACAGGAACAGCTTCTTGGCTCTTCAGCCTTTGTTTTGGATACATGATTTACGTACAAACCTAAGTAAACATGAGTAAACATACAATACTAGCAACTAACATATCTGTGAAAAAAAAAATACTCAAATGCTATAAAATCATTATTCTCAAAACAGACTGATATCTGCAGTGAGTATATGCTGTTTCAGTTTTTAGAAAATTTGCACTTTGGGGTATTTTAGAAAGGTAAAATATTTCATCAAACCTAATATTTTCTATATTTAGAAAGACAACATGTTTATCACAAATCTTTGAAACTGTAAGGTTATTTCAAAACAGAAAGAATGTATGTTTAGCATTTACTTTCACAGAATTATCTAGAGCATATTAAAAAGGACATATATATTTGATGATGTTATGCAGCATTGAAAAGGAGAACATAATCTGTGAGGCTAAAGTTAAGGGACATCAAAGGCTAAGTGTGTGCATGTGAAATGTTTTTAAAACAGAAATTATCCAATACCACAAGACAAAGAAGTGAAAAATGTAAATTATATGGGATGCTATTAATTTATGAAGAAAAAATTATTAGCTGCTGGATGAATGCTTTATGACAGCTTCTGGAAGTAAACAGATTAAGGGTAATAGTGCTTTTAGATAACCTGGAAGATATTAATCTGACAGATTAATTTTCTTCATTGCTGTGTTAATTGTTAAGTCTATCTGAAATCAAGTAAAAGTGATATATGATGAAACAGTATTGAAATTAATAGAACTGGTAAAATGGATGGAAAAATTACTTTCTTAGGAAGTACCAGAATTTTAACAAGGATTTGACCAGTTCATGGGTCCTGTAGAGTGAATATTTTTGAGAAAAGGATATAGAATATACCATTAAGAATGGATACATTCTCTGTACCTATCTCTGCGTTTGGCTCTACAAGGTTAAGATTATGAGTGAAGCAGAAATTTGTGAGAGTGCCTCTGCTATAAGCCCTACTAACCTGTCTTCTTCAAGACACCATGAGCCACTTTTTTTTTCATGAGCACTAAAATTATTTTTAAAAATTTAAGCGATAGATGGAAAATGATGATGAGTCTAGAGAACTGTTGCAATTTTAGCATAAAGGAGACTGAATAAAGCAGAAAAAGTTCCTATTTTATACCACCCTGTTGCTTCACTGTTCTTCTAAATGTACTGGTGCTTTCACTCAGACTGTACCCTGGGCCACAAGTCCCAAAAGATGGTGCAATACATGGATATTCTCCAGACAGATGGTGCAGTACCTGGATAGGCAGCAAACAAACCCAGGCTACAAAGGTGTCTTAGATGGTAGCAACACAGTACTGTCCTGAAAACTGTCCACAGGGCCCTCTGTGGTACCACCACCTTCTCCTCACAGAAAATTCTGAGTGGCTTTGAGATAGAAAAACATGAAGTGCAGCATAATTACACAAGTAGAAAATGTAATGCTTGTCATTTGTAATTGTTCTATGAACATGTATAGTTTAGAGTTACTGTACAGAAAGAATTATATTGTGTCATGTAACTCAGCTTTTACTAAATATAATTCTCTTCAGGAGGTGAGAAGGATGCAAATTCTTAAATCCTCCATATTGAGTGATTGCTGTGAAAATTCTTTTCAGTAGTATTAATATGCATGTATTGCAACACATTTTCATACTGATAATGAACTGCTTGATGGCCCCCAAATTTTGAACCCCTCCAAAAATATCACTGAATAAGAATTCATGTGACTATTTAGGTAAGAACAAGATTAAAGATTTGTTGGAGCGGATTCCTAGGTATGTCACAGTAGCTCTGAAAGAACCTGTAGAATGCACTGTATACATGAAGTTAAGGGGGATAACTGGGCTGATAAGCATTGTTATTTCTTGGTTTGAATCAATTCAAGAATGGAGCATACACTGCAGTAAAGATCCAAGAGAAGATTTCTCTTACAACAGACCTATGAAGCATCATTGTGGGATGCTGTAGCTGCACAAGTTGAATGACTAAATAATATTATCACCCAATGATTGTGTTGTGAGCTGTGAGAAAATAGTATTTTCAGTTCAGAGTGAACAGAAGTATGCATGAACTAAACTTCATGAGACAGATGTAAGGCTAAATTAAACTTTCAGTTGCACAGGTTGTCTGAGTTTAAGCACTGCTAAGATACATGGATAGGTCAATGCATGGAATATTTGCCCTGGGAAATTCTGTCTGGATAAAAAAATATTAAATGTAGGCATACATATTTGAAATGTACAATTACAAAAGCCACCCTGGGGTTAACAATAGCTAAGTTTATCACTTAGACCTGTTCAGCTTTCCCTTGTATCTCATAAACTAATTTCAAAAATGTGCCACTTGATATATGTGGTCTACCTTATTTATACATTTTTATTACGCTTCACATAATGTATCTGATCATATGCATGCTCAACATGTAGAAATGAACACTTCGCTGGGGGCACTTCTTACCTTGGAAGACTTGAAATCCCAGATGAGAATATTTACAAGTAATACCTACCCAGAATTTCGAAGACATTATAGGTCCAATCCCATCTTTCCATAAAATTAAAGACAGCTTCATAAATACCAAAAATACCCACTTAATTTCTAGGTACAGAATAATATATATAAGCAACATGAATGTGGAGAAGCTATGGAGCTATAGAGTTCAAAGAACTAAAAAAACTGTTTGTTGTCCAAGAGCCTTGCAAAACTAAATGAAGCTAAAAATTAATTACCACTTTGATTCTTTAAATAATATTATGGTTTAATGTTTAAAAATATATTTTTACAAGATAAATCAAAATGGATGCATTTTCCCTCAGACATTGTTTCTGAGTGCTGCTGTCCTTAATAAAACATGTTATTTGTCTCTGTACCACTTCAAGGAAAAAGCTGTGAGGTAAGAAGTGCAATGGACTCCTAGAGAACTAAGGAAGGAGGCCCAACTCCTTCTACATCATGTTCTGCTCATCTAAAAGTGTAACTCCACTTAAAGATCTATGGAAAAGCAAACATTGTTATACATATTGTCACAAAGTGTCTTATTCTCACTGTATTCATTCTGTATTAAATTGATTGTATTAATTCATTCTATATTAAAATGAATTACTTAAAATCTACGCTTTACATTTCAAGGGCAGGGAAAGAAACAAAAAATGTCTTGATCACCTGAAATTAAAATCCAGTGCATGTTCAATGTTCTTCAGACAGACAGTACAGTAACTGTCAGCAAACTCCAACCAGTTCTTTTCCTTGCAGTGCTTTTGCTGAGCATTAATCTACTTCGGATATTACAGTGATGACCGTGTATTCTGTTCTGAATTTTCCTGACAGAATGTAACCACAGTCATTCTCATTGGGTTGTTTTGTGGCTTTTTTTTCCTGCTTTTTTATTTCTTTTTAAATTTCAGTCTGAAATTGTTACAGCTTTCTCGTAGAAAATCACGTGCGTTTGCAATAAAGTTTTATTTTTCCTAAATAATTGACATTTAAATCTTCAATATGCAAATAAAGCATTCAGTATGCAGACTAGGGCTGCCGAAGTCTGTGATAAACCCCCGAGAGAAGCACGACCACCTATCTAGAACATGCCACGAGTGGGTAAAAATCCCCTGCGAAGCCGATCCGCCCCTGGCAGGAATCGAGCCGGAGCAGCGGGAAGGCGCAGCCCCGCCCGCCTGGATGCCGCTCGGCAGCGCTCCCGCGCTCCATCCGCGCCGGCCCTGCCGCGGCCGCCGCGCACCGCCCCTCGCGGCGCGGGCTGATGAGGCGCTGTGCGCGCCGGGCCGGGCCGCGCTGCTCCCTTCCTTCCCTTCACTTCCCTCCCCTTCCCTTCCCTTCCGTCCGTGCTCGCTGCCGTGCTCGCTGCCATGCTGCTGCCCTGCGTGCGGAGCGGGGCTGCGCGCCGCCTGGCCCGGGACGCGCCGCGGGCCTTCAGCTGCTCGGCGCGGCGCCCCCCGGCGCGGGGCTACAGCCGCGGCGCGGCCGGCAAGGTGAGCGGGGCCGGCCGGGGGTGCGTGTGCCGCGCTGCGCTCGGCTGAGCCCTCTGTGCCCCGCCGTCAGGAGTGGGGCTGCTCCCTCCGCTTCTCCTGGGTGTGCCGGACTGGAGGTCTGCTCTGGCGGGGAGAAGCTCTTTTGTACTTAAAATTACTGATTGAAGGAGTTTTTGGCTTTATGTGGTCGGCAAAATTATTGTAAGTTCACTTACGTTGTATCTGACTTCTTTTCCACACTTTAAAGTAGTTGTAGTTGATCCTGGTTTACAGAAGTGTTACTCTGCATCAGGTTAGATAAATTCAAAAACTGAGATAAATACACACAGAAGTAGCAATGGTTTGAACGCGATGCTCACTGACTCTGACGGGTCTCTAAATTTCGTGTTGTTTACAATAACGCGTGTTCTTTTCTAGGGTCTTGTTCTGGGAGTTTACACTAGTGAAAAGGATGATGGTGCTGCCCAGTTCACTAGTGCGGGAGATGCTTTTGATAGGCTTGTGTCTGGAAAACTGAGAGCACTTCTGTCCCTGTAAGTGTGTGATAAGCTTCTGAAATGGACTAAAGTACCTACAAATACCAGTAGGAATGATATATTTTTTTTTTCATTATTACTCTGTCCATATCGCTGTCAGACTGGAATTTGCTTCAGCGGTTTGGAGGGGAACTCCCATGATAAAACCAATCACTGAGCAAACATGCAAAACTGTCCTCTGCTCTGCATCAGCACAGAGCCAAGCAAATGCATGTGTGGCACACTGTGTGATCATGGAATAAATGTAGTACTGTAATATTTATCACAAGTAAGGCCTTCTGTATTGAAAGAATCTTTTTGTGTCCTAGATGTGGGCCACCTTTGAAGAAAGGCAAAACACGCATATTTCATGGTTTGCATCAGGTATGAATTTTGTGGGTTTTATGCTAGTTGATTTATGTGTGAAGTTTGTCCTTATGTTTAATTTTATGCTGAGTTCACTGCTGTGCTTGTCTAAATGGCCAGCTCTGCTTCCCTCTTCTTGACTGCTTCAACTCCTGTTCTGCACTGCCCATGTTTGCACAGCCTTTTGCACAGTCCTGTACTCCCTCCACCATGCTGCAAATGCAGAGGATGTGAACAAGTCTGCCCCAAAGGTGCTGTTCTCTGAATAGCTGCTTCCTGAATGAGCTAAAGCATGGCAGTTTTGGATCTGACTTCCATGCCTCCTGTGTCCAGGAGCTGTGAGTCTATGAGGAGTTACTGATAGGTGCAAAGACCTTCCAGACCTGACAGTTCTAAGAAAAGTTAGTCCCTTCATAGGCTTTTGTCAGAGGTTTTAAGTGAGGTGCTTGAAACCTCTGAAAACACGATATGGGACTTTTCTTTAAGCAGGACTTTTGTCTGCACAGGCATGATGGATCACAAGGGTATGAGATGAGGATTCATCTGCTCAAAGTCAGGCTTTTGGTGCCATTTGAGAAGCTGGGATAGAACTAATGCATGTATGTGAAGCTGACCAATATGGAATGATTTGTGCCTTTCTGGAGTCCTAGCTAGGCAGGCCTACCTGGAAGGCCTAGGCAGGCATGTGATGTGACATTAGGTCTTCCTATCTAAGTAACTGAATCTTACATGAAGGCCATTTAAATAATACAAAATAAATCCATTTGTAGTGAGAATTGCCTACCATGTGTAAAATCCTGTGTGGACACCCCACGCAGGTGACACTGGAGTTGGTAAAAAGGCTCTCAGAAATTTCATGGAAGTTGAGTGCACTGAAGGTCCCATTGTCCCAGTTCTGCATACAGGATGGGCTCTGAAGTGAGTAGCAAATCTCTGCAAAAGAAGACAGGAGAATGTTAACTGGTATCACTGATTTTCTGGAATGCTAACACAAGTTTCATCATTTTGTGGACTAAAAGACTGAAGTGTAGTAGTTTGAAAGCTGATTGTTAGAGACTGACAGAGATGGGAAAGCCTAACATTAACTTAATTTTTTTCTCAAGAGCTATAGGAGCATTATATATGTTCACATATATAGCTTTGAGTTTTATACAAATTAGACTTCACTCTTAAAAAGCTCCTTTAATACTCGCTACTTCTTTCCTTCCACTTGCATGCAGCTTCTAAGGCAAGCATGTAGTCTGTTGTGCTACCATGTTTTCCTGAGCTCTGGAGAGGTGTACCCCTGTGCAGCTTTGGTTTGCTACCGGGCAAATCCTGCCAGCAGAGCTCCTGAGATGAGCTAACACATTGAGCTTTTGAAGAGACTTTTTTTTCTTGAACATAGTACTGTGCCGAAAAAGGTTATGATTCTCCAGATAAGTTCTGTCCTTTCTTACAGCTTGAAAGCTGGATCTGCTTTCCAAGGACCCTTAGGCTTGCCCTTGGGAGTATCAGATTCACCCTGTATTGAATATAAAGTCCTGTCTGCCATGTGCATTGCTCATGATTATTAACTGGACAGCAGAATAACTAACTTGCATGTCTGTGGCAGATGACTGGGAGCACAGCACAGCAGCACCATGCAGACACTCTTAATGGAAAGTGTCTGATATAGAAAAAGTACTGCATGTATTTTTATGCTATGCTTGGTTTGATTTGGAAAATAAAGTCTTTTTAACAACTCTGCTGTGGCTGTAACAATGAGGAGAGTGAATCCATAACAACTCTGCTGTGGCTGTAACAATGAGGAAAGTGAATCCATTTGTGTGTTGGCTTCATCTAGGACTTTCCAAGTGTGGTGGTAGTTGGCTTGGGTAAGAAGAATGCTGGAATAAATGAACAAGAAAACTGGAATGAAGGCAAAGAAAATATTCGTACAGCTGTTGCAGGTTAACTATTTTTAAAAATTTTTAAGCATTTTGTCTGTAAAACAATTGCAGTTCTGCAGCATGTTCCACTTTTGAAGACCAAGTCTAGATATGCCTTTGTTTTGAAATGCACAACTTACTGCATGGTTTGGTAAATGCATTTACTTGTCACTGATACTCATGTAAATTTTTCCTTAGTGAGCAAGGAGTTATCAAGAATGTAAATCAAATCTGAAGACAGGTAACTGCAGTTATTTATATCAAATAACTTTCCTAAACAGTGTGGTATTGAAAAGGTACTTGTCTAATTAGTATTTTTGAGCCAAGGAGCATCACAAAATCGCTTTATGGTCACTCTGTACTTAAGTACACACATATATTATATCTATTTTATATATATATATATATATATATATATATATATATATATATATATATTTAAGTATGCACACTTATTTCATAATTGAGATATTTGTGTTATAAATTAATATCTTTCACAGCATTAGTTCTATGATTCAGTATGTTATCTGTTGAAGACAGAGAGGGCTTATCTTAATCAAGGATGAATGCTGCATCTAAGTGTGTAAAATAAGAATTAGGAGTTCTCACTGAAGACTTTTTAGTCTATGATTGGATGACAGCTGTTTGTCCAAAGTGCTAGCTTGTAGCTGCCATTAACATTGTTAATTAATGTTTACTTTGTAGCTGACATAAAATATTGTTAAATTATTTGGGAACAAAATAGAATTTATGGAAAACATTGTTTATAAAAGGGTATATAAACTCATCTGGAAGAAAAGAACAGTCATATTCTTGGCAAAAATCTAAATTATGGCAAATTCCTGATACCTGTAGATAGTTAAAATACATAGCACTCCAGAATCATAGAGCCTTGCTTTGCCATAGAACGAGCTTTAAGGAGTCAGAACAACTGTGATCTTTCCTTTTTTATTCTTGTGAAACATTTTAATAATTATAATTCATCAACTGATATTTTTAGTAAAAGTTTGCCAGTATATGGTCATTAGCATTTTTAATTCTTCTGTTGCATGGTCTGTTTGACTGACTTATAAACTCAGCTATCTTGAGTTAAAATTATTTTTTCCTTGCAATGTCCCATTGATCACCTCAGACAGCTGTTTTGCTGTTCTGTGCAATAGTTGGCCTTCAGTTCTGTGCTGTATTTTTCAGTTGGCTGCAGGCAGATCCAGGACCTGGAGATCCCTTGTGTGGAAGTAGACCCGTGTGGAGATGCACAAGCAGCTGCAGAAGGTGCTGTCCTTGGATTGCATGAATATAATGAGCTGAAGCAAAAAAAGAAGCCTGTAGTTTCTCCTCAGCTTCATGGAAGGTGATGGCAAAGGAAAGCTTGCCTATTTTTTAATCTGTTTATTTGCTTATTTATAAAACTGTATGCATGGTATGATTGTGCATAAAAAACAAAACTGAAGGACTAGGGCTAGCAATAGTACTCTTCTTATCTCCTACTCATTTGAATTTCCTGAATTATTTTACATCTCAAGTATATTTATAGTGTTTGTTCCATGTGTTTTGATGCCATATTCAGAGGTTAAAGGTAAATAAATGCTGCTTCATAGAAAAGAAGGACCAGGATAAAAATAAAAATTAAAAGCTGTCTGAAGAGAAGTTTTGATATACTAGCACTTCTGTTGGTATTGTGTGCCGGAATTGTGGAGAAGAAATATTTCAAATTCCATAAATAGATAAATCCTTTGGAGAAT